TACTATTGAAGAAATGGTAGCTAACCAAGAAAAACAAGATAAATAATGTTTATTTATTTATTGTTATTTTATGTAAAGAAGTTTTCGATAATAAAATGATGTTACGTGGCTCCATCTCTTGGTACTAATTAAAAAAAAAGAATTTTAGGTTATGTTATTAAAATTATTAAAATTAAATAATTAAATATTAAAGAAATGGAACAAGACGAAGCATATCTCCACACTTTTTTTAATTTTATATCATAAAATCATTACGATAAAGCAAAAGATCACGTTGTAAGTAATAAAAATGATCTTAATTAAATCATAACCTAAAAAAATTTTTTTTAGGATAATTATAAACGTAAAAAAATCTAGACCTTGGTATAAGCTAATGATGCAATTATCTCAACTCGTCGTGGCTGAGAAAAGTTTATGGAACTAGAATTTCTCCAAAGTAAAATAAAAGGATTTTTATGGAAAGATGTAACCTTTTCTTACTACGTTTTAAGTTTAAACTTAATTTCTGTTGTTTTAGAATTCCCTAAAATGTTTGTATGAAAGTGCTAAAAGCGAGATTAAGAAAGTGGAAGATTCTTGTAAAGTTCATAATCAAAAGAAAAGTGTTTTAAATTATTGCTAAAATATAGCGCAGTTTTTAAACGCACAATTACAATTAATTGATTTGTACGTTTAAAAATTTAATCGAATCTATGTGATAATCGTCTTTCAGAAACTTGGGCTTATTTATCTTTGATTAATTACAATTAAAAAAAAAATCATCGATATTACTTTTGTTTGATGTAAGGTAAAGAGTTTAATGTTGAAAATAAGGATTTAATTGGTGCTATAGAAGAAATGGTAGCTAACCAAGAAAAACCTGATAAATAATGTTTATTTATTTATTATTTTATGTAAAGAAGTTTTTGATAATAAAATGATGTTATGTGGCTCCATCTCTTGGTATTAATTAAAAATAAAGAATTTTAGGTTATGTTATTAAAATTAAATAATTAAATATTAAAGAAATGGAACAAGACGAAGCATATCTCCACACTTTTTTTAATTTTATATCACAAAATCATTACGATAAAGCAAAAGATCACGTTGTAAGTAATAAAAATTATCTTAATTAAATCATAACCTAAAAAATTATTTTTTGAAGGAAAAATATAAACATGTAAAAAAATCTGGACCTTGGTATATGCTAATGATGCAATTATCTCAACTCGTCGTGGCTGAAAAAAGTTATATGGAACTAGAATTTCTCCAAAGTAAAATAAAAGGATTTTTATGGAAAGATGTAATCTTTTTTTTCTACGTTTTAAGTTTAAACTTAATTTCTGTTGTTTTAGAATTCTTTAAAATGTTTGTATGAAAGTGTTAAAAGCGAGATTAAGAAAGTGGAAGATTCTTGTAAAGTTCATAATCAAGAGAAAAGTGTTTTAAATTATTGCTAAAATATAGCGCAGTTTTTAAGCGCAAAATTACAATTAATTGATTTGTAGGTTTAAAAATTTAATCGAATCTATGTGATAATCGCCTTTCAGAAACTTGGGCTTATTTAGCTTTGATTAATTACAATTTAAAAAAAATCATCAATATTACCTTTGTATGGTGCAAGGTAAAGAGTTTAATGTTGAAAATAAGGATTTAATTGGTACTATTGAAGCAATGGTAGCTAACCAAGAAAAACAAGATAAATAATGTTTATTTATTTATTGTTATTTTATGTAAAGAAGTTTTTGATAATAAAATGATGTTATGTGGCTCCATCTCTTGGCACTAATTAAAAATAAAAAATTTTAGGTTATATTATTAAAATTAAATAATTAAATATTAAAGAAATGGAACAAGACGAAGCATATCTCCACACTTTTTTTAATTTTATATCACAAAATCATTACGATAAAGCAAAAGATCACGTTGTAAGTAATAAAAATTATCTTAATTAAATCATAACCTAAAAAATTATTTTTTTTAGGAAAAATATAAACATGTAAAAAAATCTGGACCTTGGTATATGCTAATGATGCAATTATCTCAACTCGTCGTTGCTGAAAAAAGTTATATGGAACTAGAATTTCTCCAAAGTAAAATAAAAGGATTTTTATGGAAAGATGTAAACTTTTTTTACTACGTTTTAAGTTTAAACTTAATTTCTGTTGTTTTAGAATTCCCTAAAATGTTTGTATGAAAGTGTTAAAGGCGAGATTAAGAAAGTGGAAGATTCTTGTAAAGTTCATAATCAAGAGAAAAGTGTTTTAAATTATTGCCAAAATATAGCGCAGTTTTTAAGCGCACGATTGCAATTAATTGACTTGTAGGTTCAAAAAATTATAAACTTTCTTAATTTATTATTAATTTTTGTAGTTACGAACATGTTTACACAATCGGTCATCAAAAAGTAATCAACTATGCGGATTTAGTAACCCATATAACCACAATAATCGAACAAAACATTCCTTTATTTTCTGATATAAGCATGACGTCTATAAAAGCAATTTTTGGATTGGAATGTGATATTTTATCAAATTTATTTAAAGCCTTAGTTGAAGTACAAAAGCTACAATTTTTACCGAGTTTAGTTTTAATCCACGGAGCTCACACCGGATTAACTTTATGGGAGAGTAAAATACAAAATAGAGAGGTACATATTAGAAGGAAGGAATTTTTGATTTTATTGTGATATAAAGCGGACTTTTCAGCCGTGGAAATTAGGATTTATTAAAAACATTCAATGGCCACCTCTTTACCAGTGGTTATCAAAACTAAAGGGAGCTGTTATAAGCAAATTTAGCTTATATTTTTATCATATTTTATCACAACAAACTACACCGACGGATATGAAGCAATTATGTTCGAAATTGCAATATGATAGCTATCAAAAGTAATCGAAATAATTTCGAATTAATTTTTTACGTTAATAAGTTTCTTTTTGTTATAGAATTGCTTATTTTCATAAGAAATACGACGCATCTGTTTTATTAGTATCAGATAATCAATTTATTTGTGTAAATAGCGAAAACGATTCATTCCCAATTATCGTATCTTATCCACAAGTAAGAAATTCATTCATTTTTATAAATGTCTACTATATTCTATTTTTTAATTCGGAGGAGTAAAAAAGAAAAGTCACGTTTACACAGTGTAATTTTTCAAAGTTGTTTTTTGGCGGGAGTTTTCAAACGACAAAGGATTTTAAGTAAACTGTACAAGTGTCCCAATTTCGATGTCCTCATAGGCTATCTCCGAACCTAAATGAGATAGAAAGAAAGTAGCTTATTTATCATGATTTCATTTTTCGAGAAAATGCTAATGCCGAAAACTCCGAACAGCTATGGTCTTTTGTTTTCGCCCTATCGGCAAAAACTGAAAAATTTGCGAAAACGACAATCGCAAATATCTTACTTATTATCAAAGATGGAATATTATAAATAAAACATTATATGGGCCACTTTTTACGAAGAACTCAGTGGCGTAGGTAGAATTTTTTTCCCATCTTTTATTTTCGAGATTTTAGAAGTAACTTTATTTTTTTAAATGGACACCATAACTGGCTATGACGTAAAATAATTTGTTATTTTCTTCTGATAACAAATGTATATAGTTTGTGAGGTATATTTCTGATAGTTATTGAATAATTAACAAAAATTCATTTTGTTCTATTTAAAACTAATGTATGTATTTAAAACTTAATGTTGTTATGGTGATAACCACCATGTTATGGTGATAAATACCATGATGAAAAACATTGTTTCCAATTATTGCCAAAGTTTGTAGCAGTATTTAAAAATTCACTAATAACTCTGGCATTATGTGCTGGTGCTCCATCATATTGAAAATATATCATTTGAGACATATTTAATAGCAAATTATTGTCGATCAAAGGCTCAATGTGCTGCCTTAATATAATGAGGTATTTACCTGACTTTAAGATTTATGGTAGATACTACAGGTGTCCGGAAATGACGTGTACAACGGAAGACCACAAGTACCTTGACCAAAAATATGATGATTTAACTAAACTTATCTTTATACAAAATTGCTTAGTTTAGTCGCTAGAGGGCTTTGAAAATTCATGATGAATTAAAGATAAATCGCAAAATGACAAATATAAATACTACCGTCAAGTTTAAACGACAAACTGTTTTTGTTTTTAAAATTAATTAATATTATTAATAATTTATTAATTAACCGTTCACCCAACTGAAATTTTGTAAGAGAGAAAATAGTTTCTAAATTAAAGTAACTATTCAGAAAAAAAATGGTAGTGTTTGTACATTGGGTTAGACAGATATGGATGCATAGTTTATTGTGACAAAGTTTTTAAACACCCTATAATTTTCGAAATTACAGCTTATTCTACAAATAGCTGTAGTCTACTGATACAAATGCATGACCAAAAAATGAATAAAATCCACTGAGGATTTTTCGATTTATTTAAAAAACATACTTTTAAATCCCTCTAGCGACTAAACTAAGTAATTTTGTATATAGATAAGTTGAGTTAAATCATCATATTTTTAGTTAAGGTACTTGTGGTCTTGCGTTGCTACACGTCATTTCCGGACACCTGTATATGCCAAAATTCTATTACCTAAAACGTCACACCATACATTGAACCCGAATCTTCTTTGAACACTCAGAGACTTCATCGGTCCAGATGACATTTTGAACAAACAGCAGATGATTTAATTTTTCTAAATATCATCTACAGAATTCTAATCTTAGATTGACATCTGCGGCACGTAAATAATGAGTTAGCGCCGCTTTGTATGGTTTATACTTTTTTCTTCTTTCATATTCTGGAGCAGCGGCTTCTGGGTCAGACGTGTTGTTCAATTTCTTTTTCCAACCCAACCCAACCTCGCATAACGAGCATAATTCGTTCCAGAATCTTACTCGTAATGCGAAATACTCGTTAAGCGAAACAACGCTCCACCTAATGACGAGAATAAGGGACTTCCCCTATGCGTGTCACTCGTTATGCGAAATATCGATCATTAAGCGAGGTTCCACTGTAGTTGCAAAATTTAATTACTTATTTGTTTAAACACAATAAAAAACAGGGCGTAGTTACATATTGCATATTTTTATTGAACTAACACTAGACCTAGAACTAGAATCAATCGAGTTTAGCCGTCTTAAGAGACGTGCGGCTAAATCCGAATGCTTCTAGTTCTCGATCTAGTGTCTGTTCTAGTATTACACTAGCATTATCACTAGAACTAACACAAGACCTAGATCTAGAATCATTCGGGTTTAGCCGTCTCAAAAGACGTGCGGCTAAATCAGCTTATGTCAGTTCTAGTGACAGTGCTACTGTAATACTAGAACTGACACAAGATCTAGAACTAGAATCATTCGGGTTTAGCCGTCTTGACAGACGTGCGGCTAAATCCGAATGCTTCTAGTCCTCGGTCTAGTGTCAGTTCTAGTATTACAGTAGCACTGTCACTAGAACTGACATAAGACCTAGAACTAGAATCATTCGGGTTTAGCCGTCTTGAGAAACGTACGGCTAAATCCGAATACTTCTAGTTCTCGATCTAGTGTCAGTTCTAGTATTATAGTATCACTAGAACCGACACAAGACTAGATCTAGAATCATTCGGGTTTAGCCGTCTTAAGAGACGTGCGGCTAAATCCGAATACTTCTAATTTTCGGTCTAGTGTCAGTTCTAGTATTACACTAGCACTATCACTAGAACTAACACAAGACCTAGAACTAGAATCATTCGCGCTTAGCCGTTTTGAGACACGTGCGGCTAAACGCAAACGTTTCTAGTTCTCGGTTTAGTGTTGGTTCTAGTTTTATACTATCACTAGAACTAACACAAGACCTAAAACTAGAATCATTCGGGTTTAGTTGTTGAGCCTTGCGGCTAAACCCGAATGTTTCTAGGCGACCGGCAACATCTCGAATTTTCCTAGTGTAATTTTTGCTTAAAACTGACCAATAGCAAGCCTTCTTTTTGGCGCTTCAATTCGAAAACACTCCTCCGAATTAAAAAAATAGAGTATAATGGGTATAATTTATGTCTTTATTTAAGAAAATATGCTCCAATTTGGATATGATACTTCAAATGATAACGGATGTATCTCAAGATCTTTCGATTAATGATAGAATTATATTTAAATACATCGTTCAAGTAAGTACCTTTTTGGATTATTTAAACTAAGTGAAATGTTTATAAATTTACGAATTTCATTTTCTAGGAACATTGCACTTATGTTTTATGCATAATAGAACCCACAGTTTATATCGTTTTAATATTTGAAAGTAAACGTACCGAAAAAGATCTTTACATCAACAACTTTATATCCGATTTGTGTATAAATTTAAGATGTTCAAAAGTGTTTCTTAGCTTAAAAGATTCTCTTAAATAATCTCATAATTAAATAAATAAGTAGTATTTGATTTAATTTTTTATTTAAATTTTTTAACCTTATTTAAACATAATTAGATCTTGACGTCTGTGATGAAAAAAAAAAAACAATTGATGTCTAGCGTGACTTTTTGTGTCAGCCATTTTAAAGATTTTCAACCAAATTTTCTTCCAACGTTAAATGAGGTGTTTTTTGTGTTAATATGTTGGGTTTAAGACGAATTAACATTCAATTCGGTAAACGAATTCTAACCCGTAACCGAAGCGATGGTATTAAACCAGCCGTTAACCCAGATCCTCCACAATTTGGAAACGACCCCACAATAGGTATAATAATTTATAATTATTTAATTTTATTATTATTTAATGCTGAATTAAGTTGCTTTAGCACTTAATTTTATTTAATTTTTATTAAATCGAATTTGAAAGATAATTTAAAAATGTTATTAAAATTTTTTAGCTAGTTTGTACTTTCATTAATAGATGGCGCCACTTTAGCGTTTTAAAGTCAAATTTTTTTTTTATTTTAGCAAAGTCTAGTACATCTCAAAGCACGTTTAGCGATGTAAAACAAGACGTGGACCTTTCAAAGCTTTACGTAAAAGTCGGCCAAGTCGAAGGAATTCAAAGTATATCTGAGTCGATTTTTAAAACTGCTGCACCTTTTGATGAAGTTCCTGGTCCACCTTTTTTGAAAAGTTTAGCCAAGTTTTGGTCGTTTGTCCCGGTTGTTGGTACTCAAGTTACTGCTAGTACAGTTCAGTACTTGTTAAGTGCCGGTAAACTATTTGGTAAATTATTTTTTTGTTTCTTAACTTTTCGTATTAATTAAAAATTAAAATTTTTTCTTTGTTTTAGGGAGCCAATTAAGTTGGGGAAATAATCTATGGTTATTCAAATATCTTTTGGATGAATACGGACCCGTTGTTCGTCTTCACGGTCCTTTTGGTGGAGATGTGGTAATTGTTAGTCGTCCGGAACATGCCAGTATGGTTTTTCAAAATGAAGGTCCTTATCCCATTCGAGCCACATTGGATTGTGTTGAAAAATATCGATTGCAATATCGTAAATATAAACATTCAGGACCTTTTCTTATGTAAACAAATTTAACCCTTAAAAATTGAAACTTATTTAATTTAATTTATTCAAAAATTAAATCTAGGTATGGACCCGAATGGGAAAAGCTAAGAAAATCAATTGAAGAACCTCTTTCTTCAGCCTTAACAATTCAATATGATAAATTAGATAAAACTTGTCTCGAACTTGTTGATAGAATTGTCAGCATTCGAAATAAACAACAAGAAGTTCCAAAAGAATTTCTTAATGAAATCCATAAATGGAGTCTTGAATGCCTTTTTGCCGTCATGTTTAATCGTCGAATCGGTTTCTTAGATGTTCGTGGATTAAGCACTACATCAGAGCCTGGAATTGTTCTGGAGAGCTTAACCGGGGCAACTAATGCAATTAGAAAATGTGAATCAGGTTTTCATTTATGGAAATTTTTTGAGACCCCATCCTGGAAATCATTAAAGGTCCATTGTGATACCATCGATAACGTCTTAACAAAATACATAAGAAAAGCTCAAGATAAATTGAGGGAAAAAAAAAATATTGGAGTTGATTTACGCCCCGAAGAAATGTCATTAATGGAATATGTTTTATTGAAAGAATCAATAGTTCCAGATGATATGCAAACCATTTTACTTGATATGATGTTAATTGGAGTCAACACTACATCCCACGCAATCGCATTTTTATTATATCATTTAGCAAGATATCCGAGAGCTCAACAAAAATTATTCGATGAAATCAAAGATTTACCAATGCAAATCGATCGAGATACATTGAATTCACTTCAATACATGAAAGCTTGTATTAAAGAAAGTCTTCGTCTTCAACCCCCAATGCCCATTTTAAATAGAATTTTGACTAAAGATATTTTAGTTCACGGTTATAAAATACCTAAAGGTACTTACATGTTAATCGCAACGAAACTTTCGAGTCTTCGAGAGGAACATTTTGAAGATGCCGTTAAGTTTAAACCGGAAAGATGGTCGCAAATTGATGCCAAAGATATGGAATGCATGGCTACGATTCCTTATGGTTATGGGGCGAAAGCTTGCTTAGCTAAAGAATTGGCTGAGGTTCAAGTGGGGTTACTTTTGTTTAAGGTTAACGAATTTATAATGTTATTAATTAGTTAATTAATTTATTGTTTTTTTGTTAATAGATTTTGAAGCAGTTCAGAATTGAATACCATTACGGAGATATTCAAAGCAGCAATAATTTAATTGCATCGCCAAATCGTCCGTTGCAATTCAGATTTGTTGATCGTATTTGAGTCTATTTTTCGAGTTGTTTGTAAAAATTAAAAAAAAAAAATTGTTTAATTTAAAGCCGGTTTGTTTCTTGGTCCGATTTAGGTTGTAGTTTATTTTTAAGTTGGTTATTTATTTAAATTGTTATGGAGATAATAAATAAAGTTTTTCTTTATTTTGTTTCTCATGAGAATATTAAAGTTATGATGAAGGTTCAGGTGTGAGTCTTTCAAGATGGCTAAACCCGAATTTGTGTAGTTGTAGGTTTAGTATTAGTTCTAGTTTTAGTTCAATAAAAATATTCAACAATCAAGCACTGAATAACACTCGCATTAGAACTAACTACACCTAGAACTAGAAACATTTGGGTTTAGCCTTCTTAAGAGACGCAGGGCTAAACCCGAATGGTTCTAGTTCCAGGTTAGGTGTTGTTTTAGAACTAGTACTAGATCTAAAACTAGAACCATTTGGGTTTAGCCGTCTTAATTCGGCTAAACCCGAATGTTTCTAGATTTAGTATTAGTTCAATAAAAATATACAACCTAACACTGTCACAATTAAAACTAGAACTAGAAACATTCTAGTTCTAGGTCTAGTGTTAGTTCTAGTTTTATATTAATACTATCACTAGTACTAACACAAGTCTTAGAACTAGAATTATTCGGGTTTAGCCGTCTTTAGAGACGTGCGGCTAAACCCGAATGATTCTAGTTCTAGGTATAGTATTAGTTCTAGTTTTACACTTGCACTGTCACTGGAACTAACACTATACCTAGAACTAGAATTATTCGGGTTTAGCCGCACGTCTCTAAAGACGGCTAAACCCGAATGATTCTAGTTCTAGGTATAGTGTTAGTTCTAGTTTTA